TTTGGTTAAATTTGAGATCCTTAAAAAAAACACTTCTCTGTGCAGCAACCCTCAGTGTCAGCAAATAACATGTGTTGAGTACCTCACACCAGCCTCTGAAGCAGCACGGATGAATTACAAGGATTCTTGTTGGTTTAAGGAACTTTTTCTAAAAAAAGATTTATTTATTTATTTTGGCGGGGAGCTAGAGGGGGGTTGGGGGTAGGGGCAGAGGGAGAGAGAATACCTCAGGGAGATTCCCTGCTGAGCGTAGAGCCCGATGCAGGGCTCGATCCCAAGACCCTGGGATCATGACCTGAGCTGAAATTAAGAGTCAGCCATCTAACTGACTGAGCCACCCAGGCTTAATCTAACACAGCCGTTTATGTGATATTGTATGTATGCACACATACACATGCACACATGCACCTACCGATAATGATGGGGGGCTGTGGGGGGCGTGTGCAGTGCATCTATGCCCATTTTATTAGGCTTGGAGCAGAATTTTACTGTTTTGTATTTTCAGAGTTCCGGTTGCTGAATCTTGGCTTTTATGATATAGTTTTGTTTACTGCCACAATTTATTTCATGCCAAACCTTTGGTCAGGAAGAATACCTCCAATTATCATGCTTTTCCCATGGAAGAGCACTGTTTTACCCTGGACCACATGTTGCTCCAGTTCTCTGGAATGCATTTTGGATAAAAGCAAACACTGTCTGCATATCAGAATACTATTGTAGCTAATTAATTACACTATGAGGCAATCAATCCAGGAGAAAATACTTACTGTGCTACCATGTGCCTGGTACCACACTTTTTTAGTACTAGCTTTTTGAGATATTCTAAAAGACATAAAACATGGACTTCTAACACTCAAGGGGCCAACGGGTATTTTATTTTGTTATTTAAAGATTTATTTATTTGAGAGAGAGAGAGAGAGTGCACTCGTGTGCAATCGGGGGAAGGGCGAGGGGAAGAGAGGGAATCCCAAACTCAGAATGTGGGGCTCAATCTCACACCCCATGAGATCATGGCCTGTGCAGAAACCGTGAGTCAGATGCTTAACTGACTGAGCCACTGAGGCGCCCCAGAGCCTACAAGTATTTTAAAAGGTTATGTAAATGCAGCTTATAATCAAGTACCCAATCAAAAGCCATTTAAAAGACATGCTAAAGTCACTTAAGACATATTTAAATCGATTTAAATGTAATTTTTTAATATGTGGAAGAATCTATTTAGTTAATATTTGAAAAATTAATCATCTATGCAAACAGTTAGAATAGGATGGGGGGAAATCTATGTTTTTTAAACCTTAAGAGAGTGAGGTAGACTGGAAGGAGTGGGGTGGGATTGTGCAGGAGAGGTGGGAAATGCATTTTCAATTATTGTGCCTTTTTTGGGTAACCTTGGTTAGGGACTATTTTTACTGATTGTGGTTGGAAATTTCCATTCGGATTTCTTCTAGGAAACCAGCAGGAAACAGCAGAAAACCCAAATAGATCCCTTCCTTAAGAAAATTCTAAAGAAATGCGAATTATAGCTCCTTCTAAATCATCCATTCCTGGGTCTGTCTTAACCATTATTCTTAACATGCAATAAATAATTAAGTTAATGATGAGCATTAGATCATGAGAAGTAATCCTGGATTTCTAAGATGTTATAAACCCAGTGTAGTGTTCTTGAAGAGTATTTTCTCAGAAATTTTCATCTTCCCAAAATTTCTTAAAATTGAGAGAAAATTGCAGAAATACTTAGCAGCAAATTGAATTACACCCATTATTCTTATATAGTCTTTAAAAAAGAGTAAATTTAGACTCACTAAGTCTATATAAGCAGAAAACACCAATTTTATAGGTGTATAAGTTTTAAGTTCTTGGTGGGAGAATACAGCATTGAATGGGTCAAAGACTGTTGCTCTATTTGCAAATCTTCAAACTGACAGAACCTTCTGGAAAGATTTATGACAAGTTTGTCTTTTTAAAAAGTGATGTTTCTATAAATCCTACCAAACTGCTATGAATAAGGTTGTAAATCACTTCACTGACTTGAGTAATGGGACTTGTATTTCAAGAAACCAGTCCAAGAAACCCAGAGGCTTTCATTGATATTGAATCTTCTGTAATATTTAATACCTATCTGCCCCTGAAAAGATGAATTTTGATAATGACTGAAAATATTTTTTACCATAATTTTTGCTGAAAGGAAAAACAAATAGAAATCAATGGTATTAGGTCCGATGGTTTTAAAGAGGTTTATTAGTCACCAGCAGAGGAAAAAAAAATTAGAAGCAGTAGAAAATAAGTATAACCACATTCACTAAATTGATGTGGCTG